AGGGTTTGTTACGTATATATTTACCACAATGAAAACAATTCTCGTATTAATTCCCTGTCACTGATTCAGGGTTTGTTACGTATATATTTATCACAATAAAAAAAAAAATTCTCGTATTAATTCCCTGTCACTGATAAAGGGTTTGTTACATATATATTTACCACAATAAAAAAAAAAAATTCTCTTATTAATTCCCTGTCACTGATAAAGGGATTTTCTTTTTCTTTTTTTTGGCTAAAATTTCAGAAACAAAGTTATTAACAAAGGAGCCCTGGTGACATAATGGTTAAGCACCCGGCTGCTAAACAAAAGGTTGGCAGTTCAAACCCATCCAGCGGCTCTGCAGGAAAAAGACCTGGTGTTCTGTTTCCGTTAAGATTATAGCCTAGAAAACCCTGTGGGGGCAGTTCTACTGTCACATGGGGTCGCTATGAGTTGGAACCAACTCCGTGGCACACAACAACAGCAACATATCAGTAACACACACTATTTATTATACTGAATCTTGGAATAAATTTTGTTGTTGAGTAAAAAAAAAAAAAAGGCATCGTTTTAAATAAATAACAAGAGCAGCTTCCCTTTTTCCTACATAGAGAACAAAGGTAATCTCCACCCAAAGCCCACTCAGGGTTTCTCTAACCCAGAGACTGCACTGAGCCAAGCAGTAGCAAGCTCCAGCAGAAAAAGTCAAAACCCAAAAAAGACACCCTTTCGGATGACAGCATACCGTATCCTCTCTTCCTCTATGTTCTGGACCTTCTGGTCTCGGTACAGGACCTGGAGAATGACCTCACGCTCCAGTTCCTTGAGGGAATTCAGATTTATTTCTTGGGTCATTTTCTCTTCTTTCCTGAGACGCCGAGTCTGAAGTGTTCACTTATCCACCCAAAGCTTCTTTCCTGCCAGTGGGGCTCAGAGCAGCCAGCGGTTCACAGCAGCAAGCCGAGTTCTTTGAAGAGCTCTCCTGTTTCATTGGCAACCGGGTTTTGGTTGTGACTCTTTTGTTTTGTTTTGTTTTTTTTAACTGTGTCCTACTCCTCGGGAGAAGAAAACCCCAAGAGGCTGTCCCTTGTTGGAGTCATGGTTCCTGGAGCCTCCGGGCCACCTGCGGAGCGTGGTCACTGGGCACTAACATCCGTTTAAGACAAACGCGTATATGTTTTCTGACGTTTGGCCAGAGACTGTTATAAAGCATGCACTGCTCCTCGCAGATAATTTCTGCAAAGTAGAAGTAAACTCCGATAGGAGGGAACTGACAAATAGCAATGGGAAGAGTAACAATGACTTCGTGGGCTAATCTTCCCTTTCCAATGTTGTCAAGTCAGCAGTCAACGACAATTAAAAGCTCATCCTGTTCAAGTACCTGTAGAAAAGACAACAACAAAAACGATGTCAGTTTCCCTGGCTTGAGTATCTCTGCAGCATTGCTTCAGAAAAGGCAGGATGTTCTACACAGACAGACATTTGCATTTTCTGCCTGTGGGATGACAAAAGAATTTAAATTTTATAGAATTTATTAAACCCATTGCCACTGAGTCAATTCCAACTCATAGAGGCCCTGTGATAAGTAAATAAATAAAATTTATTTAAAAATTATTAAATTTTTAATAGCCTCAAACTTCCAAACTAGTGTTTTCTTAATATGGAGTCTGTGTCTTCAGAAGTTAGCAGTAAAAGGCCTATGTTAATGGACACCATGCCAATTGAAAATCCATTAGAAAAGCGATGTTCTCAACTGTCAGCTATTATTTTTACAATTAGTTCAAAACTAAATAATTGTTTAATCACCTAGTGGGTATGAAGTGGCATCGCCATAACCTCAAACTATCAATTATTCATGGTGGTTAATAGTTCTCATGGGCAGCCTGATGTATTAGGTTTTATTTCTGTTTGATGCTAGTTTGAAAGGTTCTGTATCCACCCTCCCTGCTCCCTTTTCCATCCATGATGCTGGACAATGTGACTTCCTATCAGTTCCTCCCCATAACCTAATATAAAGTCAAGAATATGGCAGTAAATTGATTAGACAGCAGAGAGGTACACATCAGTTAAATGCAGAAAATGTAAAAGATTGCATCAAAATACTTTCTATAAGGCCATCTTTGTGATCAAGTCTGTGTGAATCCCTGAAATTGATACTTCCTCTCAGTGCATTAGAAACAAAACTCCCTTTGTTGACCTTCAACAGAAATACATATTATATTAATTTATGATTCATAGCAGGTTAGTGAACAAGACGTTAAAAGAGTCCTAAGGTATCAATATCATCAGTCAGAACAAGGCCATGGGCAGACTGTGGAACAAACCATCAATTGATCATATGCAAGTTCAAGTTGAAACTGAAGAACATTAGAGAGCCAAAGTATGATCTTGAGTATATCCCACCTGAATTTAGAGACCATCTCAAGAATAGACTTGACACATTGAACACTAATAACTGAAGACCAGATGAGTTGTGGAAGGACATCATACATGAAGAAATCAAATGGTCATTAAAAAGACAGGAAAGAAAGAAAAGACCAAAATGGATGTCAGAAGAAACTCTGAAACTTGTGCTTGAACATCGAGTAGCTAAAGCAAATGGAAGAAATGATGAAGTAAAAGAGCTGAACAGAAGATTTCAAAGGGTGGCTCGAGAAGACAAAGTAAAGTATTATAATGAAATGTGCAAAGAGCTGGAGATAGAAAACCAAAAGGAAAGAACATGCTTGGCATTTCTCAAGCTGAAAGAGCTGAAGAAAAAATTCAAGTCTCGAGTTGCAATACTGAAGGATTCTATGGGGAAAATACTAAATGATGCAGGAAGCATCAAAAGAAGATGGAAGGAATACACAGAGTAACTATACCAAAAAGAATTGGTTGGCGTTCAACCATTTCAGGAGGTAGCATATGATTAGGAACTGATGGTACTGAAGGAAGGAGTCCAAGCTGCACTGAGGGCATTGGCGAAAAACAAGGCTCCAGGAATTGACGGAATACCAACTGAGATGTTTCAAAAAACAGAAGCAGTGCTGCAGGTGCTCACTTGCCTATGCCAAGAAATTTGGAAGACGGCTACCTGGCCAACCAACTGGAAGAGATCCATATTTATGCTTATTCCCAAGAAAGGTGATCCAACTTAATGCAGAAATTATCGAACAGTATCATTAATATCACCCGTGAGTAAAATTTTGCTGAAGATCATTTAAAAGCGGCTGCAGCAGTATATCGACCAGGAACTGCCAGAAATTCAAGCTGGATTCCAAAGAGGACTTGGAACCAGGTACATCACTGCTGATGTCAGATGGATCCTGGCTGAAAGCAGAGAATGCCAGAAAGATGTTTACCCATGTTTTATTGACTATGCAAAGGCATTCAACTGTGTGGATCATAACAAATTATGGATAACATTGTGAAGAACAGGAATTCCAAAACACTTAATTGTGCTCATGGGGACCCTGTACATAGATCAAGAGGCAGTCATTTGAACAGAACAAGGGGATACTGGGTGGTTTAAAGTCAGGAAAGGTGCGTATCAAGGTTGTATCCTTTCACCATATCTATTCAATCTTATGCTGAGCAAATAATCCGAGAAGCTGGACTATATGACAAAGAACGAGGCATCAGATTTGGAGGAAGACTCATTAACAACCTGGGAAATGCAGATGACACAACCTTACTTGCAGAAAGTGAAGAGGACTTGAAGCACTTAATAATGAAGATCAAAGATGCCTTCGGTATGGATCAAAGATCACGCCTTCAGTATGAATTACGCCTCAACATAAAGAAAACGAAAATCCTCACATTTGGACCTATAATCAACATGATGATAAATGGAGAAAAGATTGAAGTTGTCAAGGATTTCATTTTACCTGGATCCACAATCAACACCCATGGAAGCAGCAGTAAAGAAATCAAAGGATGCATTGCATTGGGCAAATCTGCTGCAAAAGCCTTCTTTAAAGTGTTGAAAAGCAAAATGTCACCTTGAAGACTAAGGTGCACCTGACCCAAGACATAGTGTTTTCAATCACCTCATATGCACGCAAAAGCTGGACAATGGATAAGGAAAACTGAAGAAGAATTGACACCTTTGAATTATGGTGTTGGCGAAGACTATTGAATACACCATGGACTGCTAAAAGAATGAACAAATCTGTCTTGGAAGAAGTACAGCCAGAATGATCCTTAGAAGCAAGGATGGCGAGACAATGTCTCACATACTTTGGATATGTTATCAGGAGAGATCATTCCCTGAAGCAGGATCATGCTTGATAAAGAAGTGGGTCAGTGAAAAAGAGGAAGGCCCTCAATGAGATGGATCGATACAGTGGCTGCAACAATGGGCTCCAACATAACAATAATTGTGAGGATGGTGCCGGACTGGGCAGTGTTGTACATAGGGTCGCTATGAATCGGAACTGACTCAGCGGTACCTAACAACAACAACGTGGGTAAAGCTTTCTATGGTTAAACTGAAATCTACCTTTTTTTTTTTTAGAGGTCTTTTCACCTGCGAAGCCGAAGGTGGGTTCAAACTGCCAACCTTTCAGTTAGCAGCCAAGTGCTTAACCACTGTACCACTAGGGCTCCTTGTGTGGGGGTGGGTTATATTATATATCAATTTTATTTCAGGATTTAAAAAGGCGAATTACCAAATATTTCCTATAAAGAGTAAGCATTGGGTCTCCTAGGTTTAAGGACCACTGAATTAGATGATCCAATAATCTCTAAGGTCACTTACAAATCAAATTATATCATTTTCTTGCTCAATTTTCAATGTATTATTCGATTTGTGGGGGGCTGAGGGCAGAGGGAGATAGAGGATTGATTGGTGGGTTTTTGTTTGTTTGTTTTTTGTTTGATTGTGAGTTTGTGCATTAAATTCCAGGTCTGGTTCCTTGGTTACAATCGAATGCTCAGAGTCCCTCCTTCTATAGGAGTGGTCTGAATTATTTCAGCCGCATCTTGTCAGTGCTCTGGAGAAAACGCTGGCGCTCTTTCTGCTCTTTATCCCTTTAGGCTGGTGTTTGAATTCGTAAAAGAAACTATCAGCTTGGAGATTCTAGTCTGCATTTCCATCTTCCAAATCACTCAAAAATGATTCACTAAAACAATGCTTAGCTCAAAGTCTATTTACTCAAGACAAGGTGCCCCCAGGCTCATAGTGAAAATTTGTTTATGTTTTTTAAATTTATTTTTATTTTTTAAAGTTTTTTTTAGTAAACTTCTTCCTAGTAAGTAGAGGTTTCCTTGGGTGACAGGTGGTTATTAAGTTAGCCAAACAGGCCATGGTAAATACCAAGAAAGTCAGAGACAATTCCATCCACCTCGCAGTTAATGGAGGATAAAGTGCACATATATAGACTTGACTTCCGAGCACCTATATTTGCAGGGGAAAAAAAAACATATTGGATTTTTGCACACATTCTTCAATATATGGATTAAAAATAAACTTCTCTCTGGGATGATTTTGATTTGTGTAATGGTTTGGAGTGGAATGTGGAGGTGGTAAAAGAATTGTATTAAACCTAGAAAATTAGTTTGCATGTTCCTTTCGGGAGTCCAGGTGTTACCTCACTATGGCAGGCGTGTGGTCTACAGCCTTCTAAGATGACAGAGCAAGGTCGGAGAATGACATTTTTAACAATCACAAAGTGAGTAACATGGACAATTTGGAGGTGGTCAAGAACTGGCTGCACCCATGAACTTGGCCAACAGAGACAGCTGTAGGCAACCAACAAGAGCAGCAAGGATGTTACTAACGGAGTCCTGATATAGAGGAAGACAACTGAATGGAGAGACAGGAAAATCTTCATGGCAAAGGTGATTTGGGCTGCGCCTAGAAGGAGAAGGGGAGCTGGCCTGGGGAACAGGAAGGAGAAGACGTCTCTAGGGTGAAAGAACAGCATTCTTAGCAATACAGACGTAGGACTCTGTCTTCTGCCAGTAGAGTAATCCAGGTTTTCCACTACCTATAAACAAATTCTAAAGTACTAACTAACCCTTGAAGAATATTGAATATACTATAGACTGCCAGAAGAACAAACAAATTTATCTTGGAAGAAGTACAGCCAGAATGCTCCTTAGAAGCAAGGATGGCGAGACTTCAACTTTCGTACTTTGGACATGTTATTAGGAAGGGCCAGTCCCTGGAGAAGGACACCATGCTTGGTAAAGCAGAAAGGGTCAGCAAAAAGGAGGAAGACCCTAAACGAGATGGATTGACATAGCGGCTGTAACAATGGGTGCAAGCATAACAACGACTGTGGGAGTGGCGCAGGATCGGGCAGTGTTTGGTACTGTTGTACATAGGATCGCTATGAGTCAGAACTGACTCGACAGCACCTAACAACAACTAACTCGTCCTGATCTGGCCTGTTC